AGTTCACAGACCTGCAGTCTGATATCACTGATCTGGCCTGATAAATTGGAGACTTTGGTATTGGTATCGGAAATTCCAGGATCTACTGACTTATTGTTTTTTAAGTCCCTTAACTCGGCCTTAAGTTCTCCTATAGACAACTTTAGAAGTTCTATTTCTGAAGATAGTACTGAAACAGAGCTTGAAGGCTGGAGCTTTTTGATAAGCACATAAGGTGTAGGGAGGGTTTCTGTATGAGCAGAGGGTACTGAATTTTTGAGAGTAGTGCTAATACTAGCTGTCAGTATAGTTTTATCCTCAGTTTCAGCTCGACGCTTACGACATACATGTGAGTTTTGTGGCTCACTATAACCATTTGTAGGAAGTATGTTGCTTGATGTAGCAATCAACGACTTAAAATTAGTCATCAGTTTTACAGGGGATTGAGTTCGCTGCTTTTTACTTTGGTTAACCATAACTATATGATATGAGAGTTAATAGTTATAGGTATGGAAGTAGTAGAGGACTTGTGCAAGGATTACAACAAGATAAATTTTATGTAAGGAATCACGCAAAAATGTAACGCAAACGTTGGACGTACCGCTAAGTTTACTAAAGATTAACTTTACGTGAGAAACAACCAATCAGAAGACTGTGTTTGTTTGCTTAAATATCCATAATAATGTACATGAAAATATATAAATATGCGTTGATTTCCTTAATAAATGATCTGTTGCCTGACTCTTGCCTTCTGTTGTTACATAGGTATCACGAAACGTAGCTGCAAATCTCGTTCATCATATGATTCCTTTGGTGCGTAATGAATGCCAGCACTTTTTAACAGCTCGAAAATTAAATATTAGTCTGGGCCCTCAACAAAAAATAATAAGGGTTGTACAGATCTAAATTATAAATAGAAAAGTGGCCAGCATTAAACACTGCAAATGTGTACTGTCATTACAAGTACTCTATAGCTTCTTCTTGTATTTATCTTGTAAATGTACTTCCAATGACTTATTATACATAATTGCATTTTATACCATTTTGCAGCTTTCAAGGACGTTCGTCTCTACCTGAAATCACGTAGGAGCATAGGACTTACCCAAATATAGGCTGTTCGTTGGTTGACCATAACTATCAGCAGGAAACGAAACGAAGTTTGGGTTGTCGCTCAACCTTGACGGTGACCTTATTCAAGACCTTACAATTTGACATTTGTACAAACCTGCTCTGATTGCTTGTATTAAAATTCGACCCTTTAGACTTTTGAAAAAGTTTTAATTTATGATTATAATTGGATTATAATTCAAAACATTACTGACCATGCCCCAGAAACGGCATGCATTTCATGTAAACTTACTTTTTTTACAGAATATAGATTGCAATTTCATTGCTGATTTGCATAAAGTTAATTATGGAGCATATTGATTGGTTTCGAATGTGCAAGCTTTACCCAAAAAATGATATTTCGGATATTTTTGGAAAATGCAACACAAAATTTAGCTTCTTGTCAAAGTCTTTAGAATTCTTAAACCGCCCTAAAGCTCTCCCCACGTTTGATCGCAATAAAATCCACGAGGCAATTTAACCTGACTTTTCAATAGCTTTCTTCGGACGTGATATGTTTAACTAGATAGCTAAATTCCACTTTGTAGATACAAAACAAATTTGTTGAAGCAACAGTTATCCATAAAGAATTTATCTCAGATGAGAATAGCGATTTATCTTTTCTCTTCAAAGTTATTAGAAATCGGTTTCATGTTGATTCGCCATTAGTGAGAGCTAATGTTAAATCACACTATTTACTCAGCCTTGACTATCATCTCATAGTCATCACTAACCATCCAAACCCTGGGGATAACTCCTCTTTTGAAATCAGGTGGGGTGGAAACCCCAGTAGATAAAAACGAAGTCCAGACAACCACATTAACCTGCCTCCTTTCCAACATTTGGCATAGTGGTAAGCAAGTTTGTCCAGTGTGTTCTCAAAGCAGATGGATTAGTAAATATTGTAAACTGTGCAATTCAGTACAGCAGCCACATTTTGCCCGATAATTCCTGTGACAGAACTGCCTTAGAAGACTAGATGGGTGAAGTGCTTGAGTGGCTTCAACCTCGTTTTTCCTCTGGCTTTGACTAAAAATATCAACAGTCGTTGTTCTGTGACCAATTATCCTCCCTAAAAAGCACTTTAGCAACGTGAATGATTGAGACGTTACCCCAACCTCTTGACCAGACTGCTCTTAACAGCGATTAATTAGGGAAGATTATTACCTAGCTTTGTCCACTCTTATCTATCCTCGACTTAAGACTCTGATCTCCTAATCTGTGTCAACAGTCTCTTCTTTTGTACGTATGAATTTACACAGACTTTAGTGATAAGAATGTCCTTATATATAAGTGTGTTTAGTGGCTTGTCTTGAAGCATTTGTTGTGGAAGCTAGCAACCTGAAATGGCTTTTCGCACTGTAGGATTGGGATAGTCAGTGCGACCATTACAGTAATTGACATAGTCATCTCAGTACCTGACATCAGATGACGGACTATGCTGCATGCTGATCAATGGTTCTATTGGTGGTCATAAATATGAATTCTTATTATCTGTGGGATAGCAGTATGCATTTTAATGGCTCAGTATTTCAGCATTACTCTAGTTTGAACTTAGTTTTTAGAAAAGCAGGTACTGTCTGTATTTAAATTTTATTTATTTATAAATAAGAGCCATTCAGTCTACTAATAGTCTCTTCACATATTTTTTCAAATTCTACTCTAGACTTGTCTCTGTGAAACTCACCCAGGTTCGTGAAAAATCTAGCGAGTTAATATCCTGTCTGATCTTCAAATATCATTCTTGCAGGCGTCGCGCAGATAACTCTCAATGAAAAAGACTTGCAGTTCTTGACCAATACCAAAACGAGACCAAATTGTCCCGAGCAAACTCGACCAGATCCAGAACAAAACAAGCAGTTCTAAACAGAATTATATTAATGACAGAGTGTTGAAGAGCTGAAAGATTGTTGATCTACATAACAAAATTTATGAGATGGGCATGGTACAAACTTTCACATTTGAGGCTATCCGGGATACAAACACTTCGGAACCCAAAATCAACTTTCGTTTAATTTATGTACTCTACTTTTTGCTTTCGGACCTCAATAATCCGCACAAATCTTACTTATTTCAGTTACTGCTGCTGATCTACCTCCGTATGTTACTTTAGGGCCTGGCTGTACACAAATCGCAGCACCATATTTCAATACCACTACATTTTTGTTGCAGTTGGTGCGCATTCAGGGAACCGGAGAAGTCAGTCAAATCACCCGAACATCCAATATTGCGTTTCCAGTTTCTCATATCCTACATTAAAACAAGTTTAATGCGAATCGTCTTCAACCGCACGCTTTTATACCACTTTATTTTTCTTTAAACGCAACTGCAGGGATGTTTGCGTGTGGGTTCTGAGATGTGAATATGCAAAGATGAAGTGTTAATGTTTTGTCACAACCTCAACTGCTTGGGTAGTCACACGTATAGGCGCCGGAAAGAAATAAGATATGCGCTCGATCTTGGTGTTAGCTACACTATTTAACATCTATACAGTGAAAAGCGGCTATTTTCGGCAGCCCAACTTTAGTGTTAACCCCTTTCATATTAGTTGAGAGAGGCAACGACTTAATCTCCCTCATTTGGGCACGTAGTTGCGCTACCTAGCATTTTAAGAGTTGAAAGACATTCCATTGTCCTGTGCCCAGTATTTCAGAATGTTTGGGTCTGCCTGAAACATGTCAGAATCTTCTTTAAATATTGGCGTCATCAGCATGAGAGACAGCCAGATAATTCATACGTTATAGCAGGTCACTGAGGAAAATTGAAACATAAGGAGTTCTGAAGTAAAGTTCCGTGGGACTTCTGAGGTCAAAATGCGTGTGGTTGATTGGACACGATTGACTTAGGTATAAAATTCAATTTTATGTAGGTAGTGTTCCAGCTGTGATGGAAGTAGGTCACCGACATTTACCTGGCCTATTTTGCGAAGGGGGACATCATCATAAACAGTATCAAGTGTCCATGAGTGAACTGGAACATTTATCTCCCCTGCATCACGTCGGGATATTCCATGAAAATAGTAGATTTGTTGTACACGACCCAAAAACTTCTGAAGCCGTGTTGCGATTATTTTATTGTGTTATTTCCGTCAAGGTTCTGTCTGTAAGATCGTCTAACAAGCTTCTCAATACCTCTGACACCATCGGAAGTAGTGCTATCAGTTCAATATTCACCGAGTTTTGCCAATCTACAGTCTTGAAGACAGGTAAGGAATAGCTCACTTACACTCCTTCGTCAATTTCTCCAATTATGTGAAGTGCTTGGAAAGACCACATAAAGGCAAGCATACACTGTTTGAGAACCAGTAGTCAGAAATCATCACAACCTGAGAAATTTCTTTGTTTGATTGTAGGTTTCCAGGCCGTAGGTTTCTTTGTTTGAGTTTCAGTAGCTTCGTTATGTCCTTCATGGGGCAGTGCGGCCGATTCAGCGGAGCAAATCTGTTAGCTGACAGTATTAAAACTCACTGTACTGTTTAGTTGTCTATAAAAAGCCATTTTCACATCAATACTAGCCACTTGGAACAATTTATCTAGCATGTCCCGTGGTCGGTGGGTTTCTGATCTACACGAATCGATATAAGTTCTTGGGGTTCCAAGCAATCTATTGTCTCTCAATTTGAATCGGTTTTTGAGTGCTGAGTAAAAAGAATCGGGGTAAATTGCAGAACAACCCATAAATAGGGTTTGATAGAATGGATACTCATGAAGGAAAAGTTTGCTGTCTCAAGGTAACTTGCCAGGTCTCTTACTTGGGTTTTGATGCCTTGTGCTAACCATCTGCCCCTCACCTTGGGTATTTTTGTACGTCCTAATCATTAATCTCCTAAATTCGTCTTCCAAAAATTCTGATGTTGAAATCCATCAATTTAGTTATATTCTTTTCGATTTCGTTGCCGCCAATTATGAAACACAATGAGTCATTATCGTTACAATGGTTGGATAATTGATAAATTTGAAGGTGAAATAAAATTGCGTAAGTATTGCTCATTATTGGTGCCTATCATTATTTTTTCACTTGAGTCATGCATGTTGATTACAGATATTCATCCATGTACCTCTGCATATTCTCATGGTTTACTAAAGCTACTCGGCACTAGTATATCTTGAATTCATTTCTATATTGAAGACCTTAATATAGCAATCAATATTGCAAGTAATGTCAAACAAAATGTTAGGAGAGGTTGTATTCATACAGTAATATCATGAAGCTTTAATACCTTTACTTTTTGATAACTATTTTCTGTCGTCTTGAACTCTAAAGATAACAGATATGGCAGGATGGCGATTCGCATATAAACACATTCAGCGGAATAGTTATGTAAGGGTTAGACGTTGATTATTTTGGGAGGTTGTAATGCTTTGTCTCAGTCAAGTTTCACAGATCAATGAAATAGCTATTTGAGCAACATAGCATACTAATAAATAAAAACCTTTGGGTATCTTTTCAGATGAACCTTGCAAAAGGTGTCGTAAAAATGGTGTTACTGGAAGACATGACCAATGAAAAAGATTGTAGAATATTAGCTTACAAGGAGAACTTGACCACTGTCCATTAAAACCAGCTCTTTAGAAATGGCTGTAGGCGAATTGATATTGAAAATGCAAATTAAGTGTATAAAAGGTGCTAAATCAGATGTGCTTGAGATTAGCCGATAAGCATTTTATCCTGACCCTAACTACCTGGTTTGATTCTCGATACCTTCTTTAATTACCTAAACCATTTAAAACTTATATTCCTATTTTCAGTTTTGTTGATTGACGGTAGAAGGCTTGAAGCTAGTGTTAACCCTTTTTTAGTAACTTTCTGTGCTTGTCTAAACCCTTCTTCTTGAATGAGTCAAATGAGGACACTGACACTGTTTCTTCTGGGAGTATGTTCCAGGAGTATATAACTAGGTATGAGAACCAATACTCCACAGCAATACAATTTCTCCTTGGCTTTTGAACTCTATTGCTATGTCTTCTAAGGTGTCCCAACCTCGTGGAAAGAGAAAGAGACAATAGATAAGGTCCGCGGTCATTATTTAAAACTTTAAAGATTGTAATTAGATCTCTTTTTTGCCTGAGTTATGACATTGAGAAGAGACTTAAATCGTTTAGTCTTTCCCTATACGACAAATTAATCATGCCAAGGATCATATGTGTTGCCTTCCTCTGAACCCTTTCTATAACATGTGAGTCCTTTCTAAGATAAGGATTGACTATCTTTTATGTGAAGGTTTACATAAACTTGACAGCACTGCGCTTTACTTATTTCATTATTCAGCTAAGAGTAAAATAGCTCCCTATTTACAAGGCAGTATACCTCACTTTTCAGTCTCAGCAGACGGGCTGAAGAATTTTGAGGAATTTTCCGGTGAATTTAAAGAACGAAGTTCTTTACAGCCCGAAAAGTCAGTATAATTAGCCAACCGACGTACGGAGATATGTTGAGATTTTGTGCCTATACAATCTTTATAGAGAAAATAAGACCGATAAAGCAAATGGAATTTCAAACACCATAATACTTGTTATATTGTCGTCACTTTTAGACATCCTTTTGGCTCTTCATTCGTTTTAAATACGAGTTTCAATGGGGTGTATAATTCTGAAAGCATACGTAATAAATTAAAGTTGACATTTTTCAAAATATGTTTCACTATCATCTTATTACAAGCGTCGGTGGTATAGTCGTTAGGACGCTGGCCGACCATGCACATGGTCTGGGGTTCGATCCCCGGCCGATTCACTACTTTACCTCGCTGAGCCAGAAATAATGCTGGAAAAGAGGAAAGGTTGGGCATGAGGCTAACAACCCCATCCTGTAAAATAAGCACTGCCAGAGAAACTTCAAGCAACTAGCTTGAAGCCCTATGTTCCACTGGGGAACGTGGAGGAGATAAAAAAATCTCTATTTTCTCCTACATATTTATTGAGCAATCGGCCCTTGCTTGTTGGTTTGTTACCAGCCAGCCAGAGTTTCTTGCCACTAATTCCTGGTGAAAGTCTGCAACAGGCTGTTGGAAATCCGTTTCGTGACACACGCTCAGTGTAAGTTTTTGACCCGTATAGAAGAACTGACCGACTTCACATTGGTGTTGAAAATCCGAATCTTGTTCCTTATGCTGAGTGACAGCGGAAGATTTCCAAATTGATTTCAGGCTGATGAAAATGTGAGTATTTTGCCTGTGCGATTATGACTGACTTTTACATCTTCGTCCGTTCCGCTGGCCTGTAGTTGAAATAATGCTTCCTGGTTGGATAAGTGAAGGAGGCAGCCTCTGTTAAATCTCTCCCGTTGATGGTGATTGGTACTGGTTGTTAGTGCTGTTGATTGGTTACCTTCATTACCTCCGTTTTCTATGTGTTCACCTGCAGTCCTGTCTTCGCTACCTCTTCAGCCAGTTTATTGGTTTTCGCTTGCAACTTTTCGAGTTTGTGTGACATTAGACGCACATCATCTGCGAAATCTAGATCTTCTAGAGTCTTCTTATCGATCGTACAGCGTATTTCTGACTCCTCACCTCGCCTAGTTAACTAGCTCGCTAGTTTTCTAGCCGGTTCCAAGCCAGGGTAAAGAGAGAAAGTTTGGCATTAGAAACTTCAACACACAGAAAATATATTCAAAAAATGGCAAGAGTAACTGGTATGAAACAAATATAATTGTTTTATTTAGATTTTATGAATTCTGAAACTGTTTCACACAAAAGTAGAGTTAAATTCAGTGATCGTTTTCACTGGTGAACATTTTTGGAGGTAGTTTAGGGGTTAAATTATGCTAACAGTTCGCACCATGTAATTAACAATGGACATGATGCGTACGGACACCAACTGATACGGATTAGAACAAGATGGTTTTGAGCGAACAGTTGTCTTACTTCACTCCATTATTGTCACTGTTATGTGTATCAACCTTTGTAATTTACACAGAACTTATCATATCTCTAGTATTTCATTGTGGTCCACAATTCGACCTCTTGATATCCGTCAGCCCTTGCTTAAACTTGCACTCAGTGTCGCCCATTTGTTGGTATTTGTTTGTGGTAATGTTGCTTGTGGTAATCATATTTCTCTTACACTACTGAATATAACTCACCCACCGCCCCACAGTGAAACTTAAATTCAGTTGACTACAAATCCATTAGTATTTCACCGAGTTGTCTATTCACACTTTCCAAATCGTGGAAAATACCCATTGGAACATTAGATTGAGAAGAACAAGAAGTTCAGCAAAGATATCTTTTCGGCGATTTCATTCTCAAGAGTTGTACAATCGCATTTATATAGATAAGTTTACATGGATGCAATTCTTATTTGTTTAAATCCACATAATAACGAAGGTGATAATAATTTTCAACTTGATATGAATTATGAGAGGCTTAGAACGAATTACAGGTGTGAACAAAATGAGCATAGAAACAAATTGAAATCAAAATTTTCAACTTGAAATGTAATTTAGGAGGTGTGAATATAGATTACAAGAGGCAAAGAAACAAAAAATTACACAGGATTAGAATATAATTGTAAAATGGTTATTCTAAACGGATTACAAGTGTGATCAGGAGGAGCATGGGAACAAACTTAAAATAACTGATTTTATAACTGAAAAAATAGGATGAATTGAATGAAGGTAAAGAGAGAAAATTACACACACAGATAACAAAACAAAAAAAAGTTGAAGGATAAGGGGACATAACGAACTAGGTCCACGGTAGTTGTAAAGCCTGGACTAGTTTCTTTTGAACACATAGCTCCGGCTTTTCGATGCATATGGCAAGAACTTCCGAAGTACAAGGAAGTCGGAAGCACACTGCCTTTGGTAGATTGTTGTTTACTTTGTAAATCACTGTAAATGATGAGTCAGTTGAGATTCTGTGACAGGTATTGACAAGATGTTCAGTTATTACGCTTCTGATTGAACCTCCTCTTTGCAGCCATGCTGGATGATGTTCGCTAACACGTTTTGATAAGACCCTCATAGAAGGACCTATGTACCTAGCTCCGCAAGAGCAGGTGAACTGATATATGCACCTGTCACAGAATCTCAACCGACTCATCATTTACAGTCATTTACAAAGTAAACAACAATCTACCAAAGGCAGTGTGGTTCCGACTTCTTTGTACTGCGGAAGCTCTCGTCTTGTTCTTCTCAATCTAATATTCACACTTTATCTTGTGTTCTGAGTGACTGTACATTTTATGTACATTCAGCTGACAGTATTGACTATCATTCCATAATATACATATACCTCAATAGAGTTTCTTTTGTAACTTCTAACTGCCTTTATTGACCGGCCATTTGTACTCTAATATTCATGTGTTTATAACCGTAGAGCCTAAGGAAGTGGTTATCGAAATCCCAATTGTTCGCTCAAAACCATCTTGTTCTTCATACAACTGGTTCCCTTGATAAATTTCGATAAAGAAAGGAAGACGAAATTTGCAGTATAAAATGATATCATTCTACTTCACAGGTTCTCATCAGCTGCAGACTACCTGAAATTACAATGGTTATATAAATGATAATAACATACTTTAATGTTTGAGTAGTAGTAGAGAAGAGATAATATTGACGCATCCAAAAAAGAATGAAAGCATTACAATTTTTAGTTTAAGGTGTCCTCATCAATTTATACACTTTCAGAGTTGAAATCAAAATTCAGTTACCAAGGGAGTGAGAGGTTAATCATGTGAACCTACAAGCAAACACTGTTTCTGTTAGTCAATTTTTCTGTTTTCTGTCTTACCCCTCCCCCCTTTTTTCAACTCTGAAAGTGTATAAATTGATGATGATAACTTCAACTAAAATTGTAATGCTTTCATTCTTTTTTGGATGCGTCAATTTTATCTCTTCTCTACTACTACTCAAACATTAAAGTATGTTATTATCATTTATATAACCATTGTAATTTCAGGTAGTCAGTGGCAGCTGATGAGAACCTGTGAAATAGAATGATATCATTTTATACTGCAAATTTCGTCTTCTTCATCTTG